GATAGCGAAGGGGTAATCGCCCGTTGAAAACGCAATTTGAGGATCGCACGAAAGACGAGAAAAATAGAAGAAGTGGAAAAGACTAGATGGAAACTCGTGTCGCCGGTTTCTCGATGGATAGAGCAATCAGCTATCCACCTCTAGCACTTTCTTCTCTCTCTCTCTCTCTCTTTTTTTCTCTCTCTCTCTCTCTCTCTCATCTCTTTATCTATCTATCTATCTATCTACGTTTTCCTTCATGCCTTATTTCTATCCTAACGCGTAGTTCTTTCCTTCGAATCGTCGTCGTCGTCGTTGTCGTCGTCGTCGTCGTCGTCATCCTAAGGTAATCTGAGCACGGATACGTTCTCATATATAAAAGTTTTTAAGTCCTAAGAGCGTACGTGACGATAGTATCAGACCGTCAAATGTTTCTTCTCTATTCTATTCTATCTATCGATTTATCTATCTATCTATCTATCCGTTAGTCTCTCGATATTTCTATCCTTTTTCATCGTTTTTATCTCTACTTTTGCATGATCGGGAGAGAAAAAAAAAAGAGTCGAGAAATTAAAAAGGAAAAAGAAAATTCTTTTTATCTCTTTTATCCTTTCCTATTCTATTTATCTATCTATCCATCCATCTAGCTATCTATTTAACTGTATATATATATATATATATATATATATATATATATATATCATTCTTCTTTCAGAATGTATTTTTTATGGAAGGAAAAAAATATATAAAAAGCAAAAAAAAAAAAAAGAAAAGAAAAGAAAAGAAAAGAGAAAGAAATAAAAAAAAAAGGGGAACAAAAGATCGGGTTAAATATAATAACGTGCGTTAAAAAGGAAGACTTCATCGGATCTAATGAAAATTATTTTCCATTAGATGCGGCACGTGCGATACACATCGATCGATAGTTTTCAATTAGTCGTCTGTTCGTTCGTTCGTTCGTTCGTTCGTTCGTTCGTTCGTTCGTTCCGATAAGGTAAAAGATAATTTAGAAAAAGATTAACGTCATGTACTCTTTCTTTCTTTTCTCTTCTTTTCTTTTCTTTCTTTCTTTCTTTCCTTCATTCTATCTATCCATCTATCTATCTATCTATCTATCTATCTATCTATCTCTCTTTCGATCTTTCACCGGATGAGAGAAACGTTTCATAGATCGTTAATAATCCTATCGTTATTTCTTCTCTCTCTCTCTTTCTCTTTCTATATATATATATATCATTTTCTTTCTCTCTTATATTCCTTATATTCTTCTGCGTCGTATATATCAATGTCGAACGATCAATTTACTTGTTCAATGGAATTACGAAAAGCGGATATAATTCGATCAGATGAAAATCTTTAGCTTTTCGTTGGGTCAGCTACCTTCTCTCTTCTACACAAGCAAAACAATTTAACCTCTCTCTCTCTCTGTCTCTCTCTCTCTCTCTCTCTCTCTCTCTCTCTCTCTCTCTCTCTCTCTCTCTCTCTGTATGTCTATATCCGTGTGTTTGTACTAAGAGAACGGAATACGAGCAACTAAAAATCCCCGTCCCTGAAACTCGTTCAATCCCAAGGCTCAACAATTTAGTGTCATCAAACGTTCTAAACGCGAGCCTTGAATTCGAGACAAGAGCGCGATAATCGATCCTTGACAATGACTCTCTTCTGCCTGTTTTTCACTGTTACGCATTATTTCATCGTTGATTAAACGATCTTTTCTCTCTCTCTCTCTCTCTCTCTCTTTCTCTTTTTACCTTCGCACATCATCATCCCGCTTCACCCTCCAAAGCTTCACTCTAATCTATCACTTTCGACCAATCGTATATATGTAAATTAAATAGTTTTCTTTTTTTCTCCTTCTTCTTCTTCTACTATATTATTCTCACTTAGTTTCTTCCTTTCTTTCTTTCCCTCTTCCCGTCATTTGTTCTATCCATTTTTAATTAATTAATTCTTTTCCACCTTAATGTTTAATAAACAAGATGATTACATTGACACGAGACTTACGTTAATACGAAACATATGTCGTAGTCGTTGTAAAAACAAAAAACTAAAAAAATTGCATACGACTATATGTATGTATGTATGTATGTATGCATGTATATATGAAATATGTTGATCGATGATATGAATTATTTATTCAGTTCGGTTATAAGGATTAAATACGATAATACATGATTTATCAATGATTTTAATAAGAACGAATGTCCTACGGTTTAGTATTACCAGTCAAATAAATCCTATATCGAGTCAATATGATTGTCGAATGTGACTCGACGTATTTTTGTTTTACTTTTCTTTTTTTTTCCAAAAAAAAAGAAAAAAAAGAAAAAAAAAAAGAATAGAGAAGGAAAAAATCTCCTAGTGTCGATTGTGACTCGACATATTTTTCAAAAAATTCGTACCGACAATTGTGACTCGACACATTTTTCAGAAAACAACTAGTGCCGTCAATTGTAACTTAACATTGCCTTTGTTTTTGTTTTCTTGTTATTATTTCTTTTTTTTTTTTGTACAAAACTCGTGTCCAAGCGTGATCGTCGTCGACGTGTTTTTTCGCAAAACACTTGTCGAGTTTGACCGTCAACGTGTTTTTTTACAAAACATTTGCCGAGTATGACAAGTGTGTTGACTAATAATTGACTCGCTTTTTCCTTTTATCCGCTTAGATTTTATGTGTGCATATATACGTATATATATATATATTTTTTTTTTGTTTCCTTCCGTTCTCGTTTCGTAAAATTTTTTATACATTAAAGAGAAAATAATAAAGATTACGTTTATACGAATAAACATTAATCTTCTTTAAAGCAACGTTAAATAATTTTACAGTTATCGGATAGAATTAAAACGATCCATGTATTTCACGATTTCATCATAAAAATCGTACACTGCACGATCCTCGGTATCAATTTTACATCATTACTTAAAGTGTATTTACTATTTAAACGTTCTCGGACTCTCTGTTTATTTGGGAAATATTTGCAATCGTTAACGTTCCGAATTCGATGATTATTATTTCGAACAAAATGAAATTTCCATTGGAAATGAGATTGAAAGAATAAGCATATACGAATAAAGCGGTGTTAACGAACAGTAAATAAATATACTCACGTACGTACACACACATACACACACATATATATATATACATCGTATATTTTTAAAATAATATATTATATAATATCAAGAATTATGGCATTATATTTCTATCGCGAAACGTGCGATACTATTTCATTTAAAAGAGAATATACATTTTTTACTATATCGATTTCAAGAGTTTCGTTTTCATCGACAGAGAGAGAGAGAGAGAGAGAGAGAGAAAAGAAAAAAAAAGAAAAAAAGAAAAAAAGAAGAAAGGAAATAAATCAGAGGTCCTTTTTCTTTCTTTTTTTTTCCTCCCACCCTTCTCCGCCTCCTCCCCCCGCCCCTCCAACATCAAATAGATCCTATATAGATCGAAAATAACCTTCGACCTGTCTGCGGGACATTAAAAGAGATCGTTAAACGAGATCACACCCAGTCAGTCGTAAAAAAGGATCGCCTTGGACGGTTAGTATCAATAATAATTATTTATCGTTCATTCCTGCATACATATTAAACTCCGTTATTTGTCAGTACACGTGCATTACGAGAGCGTAGATTAAAAAGAGAGAGAGAGAGAAAAAAAACAAGAACAGAAAAGAAAAAGATAAAAGAAAAAGATAAAAAGTGAGTAAAAAAAAAAAAGGAAAAAAAAAAGATAAAGAAAAAAAAAAGCTACAATTGCATAAACGGAAACGCTTGAATTGTTTGTTTGAATTGAGATATATTTGTAGATAATGTACGTATACATAGAGAGAGAGAGAGAGACAGAGATAGATAGAGACATGCGTCTGTATATGGCATTACGCGATTAATTAATGACTCAGTACATGAAACGTTACAATCACGACTCCAATGGTAATCGCAGTGACATAATCGTGTCAATTGGCACGGCCTAGGCATGGGGAGTTGATAATTAATGTACGTAGGAAATTACATGCGAAAACGTTCACGCGAGATTTCGAATAGTTTCTAACCCCTTTATCCCTTCTCACTCTCTACTACCCTTCTCACTCTAAATCTCTATTTCTCCTTCTCCTACCTCTCTTTCTCTCTCTCTCTCTCTCTATCTATCTTGTCCCACAGTCCATATCCAAAACCCCATAACCAATCCCCTTTTCTAATCACGACTAAAGGCTAAAACCACCGTAGGTAGTAATAGTCATCCTGGCAATTTCGATTTAGAATCGTCTGAATAATTAACATTAAAATCGTTCTCGATTGCATATCCTTTAAAGAATACGAATAATGTCGTTTGAAACGAGATAGTACGTACGTACGTACGTATGTATGTACGTATGTATGTATGCATGTATGCATGTATGTAAATGGTTATATACGAAGGAGAATAATAAAAAATTGGATGAACGTTAAATAAAGAAAAAGAAGAAGATGTAGAGTAGTAGTTGATCGATTTTAAAACACGATCTTTCCTATGCTTTCGCGATAAACCGATTCTTCGAGATTGACGTTATTCGATATCTCGAAGGAGAATAATGCAAGTACGTACACGATAAAAGGAGAAAGATGAGAGAAAAATTAGATTTCCCTTTTTCGTCTCTCTCTCTCTCTCTCTCTCTCTCTGTGTGTCTCACTCCTATCTCTTTATATCTCTTTCTCTCTCCTCTTTTTTTCCTTTTTGTTTTCTCATTTTATTTCTCTTTCTTTCTTTCTTTCTTTCCTTTTCCTTTTCCGTTTTCTTTTCTTTTCTTTTCTTTTCTTTTCTTTTTCTGTTAAAGCAAAGTCCGTGTTAGAACGAACATAAAATTTTTGCGATAAACACGAAGATAGTTCACGATTTATATTCACGTATTTTACTTTTATTTATTTCTATCCCCTTTCCTCCTTCTTACCCTCTTTTTCTTCCCTCGTTAAAGTACGTACGCAGTTATGTGGATAGATAGATAGACAGATAGACAGAAAAAGATATATATATATATATATAGTAGTTTCTTAACAGAGAAAACGTATATAGACAGTCTCGAAGCAGCAGCAGTAAGATAACTAAGTACATGTTTTCTAATCATAAATAAAGAAACACAGCAATCGTTATAGAAACGAGTTCGGATATTCTCAAATATGTATTATATAAATATATCGTTGAGTAGATAGACGTGATACCGGGGATTTCGTTGAGTTTACATGTACAAATGGGTAACAACAAAAGAAAGAGAGATAGAGAGATAGACAGACAGACAGAGAAAGAGAGAAAGAGAGAGAGAGAATATTGAAGTAACGACAAGAAACAGTTGCATATTTATGACACTCTGTTTATGAGGTAGAAGTTAAGAATAACTATCTACTTTCCTCGAAAACTTTGTCAAATAGAAGATATTCTCTCTCTCTCTTTCTTTATATATATATATATATATATATATATATATATATATATGTATTATATCAAACGATCAAACTTCTTCGAAGGGTTTCTTCTCAACCTCTGAAGTTCCTCAGTTTCTCTCGACAGCTGGGAAGCCGGTGTACGCGTAAATTCTTCTCTTCGAGATGTAAGAGAAAACTTTGTCCGAAAGTAGCAAAAGAAGGTATTAAAAGCAAATTCGAGCTTGAAAATCTTACGTGAAAAGTAAAGAAATACATAGAAGGAAGGAAGGAACGAAGGAAGAAAGAAAAGGAAAGATGTTCTCTTAAAACATAGACATAATTTCGTTGGTAATTAAAGTTAATTCTGTCTAATTATTACTATTATTATTATTATTATTAATATTATTATTATTATTATTATTATTATTATTATTATTATTATTATTATTATTATTATTATTATTGTTATTATTGTTATTATTATTATTATTATTATTATTATTATTATTATTATTATTATTATTATTATTAATTCATAATGAATAAACATTTAATTTTGTGGGATAGAAGTAGAAGAAGTTATTTAATAAAGAAATTTTGTAAACACGTAATTATATCATAAATGAGAGGAAGCAAAGACGGGAAAATAAACTGTTTCTTGTTGAAACACAAACGTAATTCTTTCTCCTACCAACCCTTATTCTCCCACCCTACTCCCTTCATCCCTTCCTCCCTTATTCCTCTGGTATAAATTCGTTCTTCGTATTATTATATTTAGTTTTACGAACAAACATTTAATTTTGCGAGAGTGGTGGAAGAAGAGGTTTTTCAATAATAATAATAATAATAAAAAAAAAAGAAAAAAAAGAAAGAAAGAAAAAAAAGAATTTCAAACATAATTATATCCACCACAAGTAGAGAATAAGAGAGAGAGAGAGAGAGGAGAGAGAAAGAGAGAGAGAGAGAAGACTTTCTCGTTAAAATTTCAGACATAATTTCTCAGTACAAGTTTATCTTTCCTATTATTATCATTTTTGTTGTCTTTTTTCTGTTTCTTTCCTTTTTTTCAGGTGGACCGGAAAATAATGTCGTTTTCAAGAAACGACACTACTTTCCGGTCGACGATTAGGGGGAACCGGAAAGTAGTGTCGTTTCTTAAAAACGACACTATTTTCCGGTCGACGATCAGAGGGGACCGGAAAGTACTGTCGTTTCTTGAAAACGACATTACTTTCCGGTCGACGATCAGAGGGGACCGGAAAGTAGTGTCGTTTCTTGAAAACGACACTATTTTCCGGTCGACGATCAGAGGGGACCGGAAAGTAGTGTCGTTTCTTGAAAACGACATTACTTTCCGGTCCAAGATCAAAGGGACCGGAAAGTAGTGTCGTTTCTTGAAAACGACATTACTTTCCGGTCCAAGATCAAAGGGACCGGAAAGTAGTGTCGTTTCTTGAAAACGACATTACTTTCCGGTCCAAGATCAGAGAGACCGGAAAGTAGTGTCGTTTCTTGAAAACGACATTACTTTCCGGTCCAAGATCAAAGGGACCGGAAAGTAGTGTCGTTTCTTGAAAACGACATTACTTTCCGGTCCAAGATCAGAGAGACCGGAAAGTAGTGTCGTTTCTTGAAAACGACATTACTTTCCGGTCCAAGATCAGAGGGGACCGGAAAGTAGTGTCGTTTCTTGAAAACGACATTACTTTCCGGTCCAAGATCAAAGGGACCGGAAAGTAGTGTCGTTTCTTGAAAACGACATTACTTTCCGGTCCCCTTGCTTATAGACCGGAAAGTAGTGTCGTTTTTTGAAAACGACATTACTTTCCGGTCCCCCTGCTTATAGACCGGAAAGTAGTGTCGTTTCTTGAAAACGACATTACTTTCCGGTCCCCCTGATATAAAGAAAAAAAAAAAAGAAAAAAGAAAAAAGAAAAAGAAAGAAAAAAAAGAAAGAAAGAAAGAAAGGAAAAAAAAAAAAAAAAAAGAAAGAAAGAAAGAAAAGTAAAAAGAAAAGAAAAATATATATGATTTCATTTTCCTTTGAACGATCTCCAGTTATGCATATATAAACATAAATTTCTTACTCGTTTTTTTTCTCTTCTCTCTCTCTCCTCTCTCTCTCTCTCCTCTCTCTCTCTTTTACTCTTACTCTTTCTACATCTTTTTAAAAAGGTACGGGCAAGTGATTCGCATGTAAATGAAACGTGGCATCGTATCTCCGTACCGTAGGAAGGTATAGCGACGAGAGTATAACGACATAAAAGTGGAAAACTTTAAACCGTACTCTCTTTCCCTTTTTTCCCTCTGGTGCCTCTTTTTTTTTTTTACCTCCCACCGGCTCTTTATCACGACCTCTCTTATTAGACTTATCGATCGTTCGAGCGTAGCAAAACGTTTGTATCTCTTTCTTTCTTTCTTTCCTTTCTTTTCTTTCTTTCTTTCTTTCTTTCTTTCTTTCTTTCTTTCTTTCTCAAGAGAGAAAAATAATTCTTTAGGAATGGCGAGAAGAGAGTAAGAGTAAAAAAAAAAAAAAGAGAGAGAGTGAGAGGATGAATAAAGAAAAATGCTGTGTACATCAAAGTCGTGGAGGAAAAAAAGAATATGTGTATGTTGTATGAAAGAGAAAGGACAGAGAAAGATAAAGAGAGAGGAGAGGGAGAGAATGATAACGTTAAAGAATCTTCTCGTTACGAATCTTCTCTTCTTTTTTATTTCTATATTCCTGAGACAGCACGTCGATATAATGGAAAAAACACATTCCGATTATTCGTCGTTCGAAAACCGCACCAACTTCGTCTCACTTGAAATTGCATAATTATCACTGAAACTGCTCCGATTCGCTCCCTTTCCTCTTACTCTCTTTCTCTTATCTTATCTTATCTTATCTTTCTTTATTTTATTTTACTTTATTACATTATATTATATTCGATTTTTATTATTTTCATTCTCGTAAGATAATCCAAAACTTTGTAGATAAGCGAACAAACGAAAAAAGAAGAAGAAGACGAAAAAGAAGAAGAAGAAGAAAAGGACGAAAATAAAAAAAGAAATAAAACGAAAGAAACAAATATCCGATATCTTAACGAAGATAGTAATAATGATGGATATCGTTCGCGTGAGCCTCGTTATTACGAACAAGAAAAATAGAAAAATAGAAGGGGGAAAAAAAAAGAAAAAGAAAAAAGAGAGAAAGAAAGAAAGAAAGAAAGAAAGAAGAAAGAAAGAGGGAGAAGAGAAAGATATATATTAGAATGGAGAACGATATACGAGCAATGAGAATTTTTTTTTTTTTTTATTTATTAAGAACGAAACCACTACATTCGTTCGGAAGAAAGAGAATAAAAAGAGATAGAAAGAGAGAAAGGAGAGAGAGAGAGAGAGAGAAAGAAAGGAAGATCATGAAAAATAAAACAGAGAGAGGGGTAAGAAAAAAAAAAGAAAAGAGGGTTGAAAGGTGGGGAGGGATGTAAGAAAGTTTCTTCATAAGATCTCGTTCCATGAAAGTCCCGAAAAGTTTCATTTTACGTTAACTTCCAACGAGTAAAGCGAACCGAATGAAGCTTTCGATGATGAACACAGACACACACATACACACACACACACGCACAAACACATTATTCCAAAACTTTTTGTCATAGCTTTCACCATCATAGTACGTAAGCGTACTATGGGTAGTATGTACACATCACTTTTGATCGATCTCTAAGAAAAAAAAAAAAAATAATAAAAAAATAAGAAAAAGAAAAGGATAGTTGTAAAACTTTAATAATTTCTTAAATTCACGAGAGCATTGAAATAATAGAAATTTATTTTCAAACGGAATGAAAAGTATTCCGTAGAAAAAATTTGTCATAGAACACACGGCGTATACACATGGCGATATTCTATTTTTGTACCGATACAGATACGGATCGTATTTCTATCATTCACTGCCAAAAATAATATTATTAGAATTATCACGTGTAATTTTATTCCATACATATACATTTACGTACGTAAAAGAGGATCGTTGATTTTTTTTCTTTTTTTTTTTTTTTTCATTTCTTTTCTATTTTCAAACGTTTTATAAATATAACGAGTTCAATCAAATGTTGAAATTAGAGAAATTTATATATAGCTATGATAAGCGAATTTTTCACTTTTAGTATAATTGAATTCAAATTATGGGGAAGGGGGGAGAGGAATTTTAGAAATCGAAAGGTATCCCAGATCTACAGATATTTATATTCTTCTGTTGATAAATTCAATTTATGCTATAGGGTGTAAATTTGTCCCCGGCGTATCTGGATTTTTAACAGGATCACACGATCTGCGAAGGGGTGACACGCAAGATAAGATACTACAGATAAGTTGTATTCTCCTGTTCAAACATTCAAATTACAAAGGGAAAAAAAAAAAGAGAGAGAAAGAGGAGAGAGAGAAAGTGGAAATTTTTCCCATAAATCTGAATTTCCAAAAGGGATCATCAGTCGATTTCTTTTTTGTCTTTTTCTTTTTCTTCTTTTTCTATCTTCAATCGTTTATAAAAAAAAAATTACGAGTCTACGATGGCAATAGTTAATGCATGAGTCTATTAGATAAGACGTAAAAGTGAATTAATAATTGTCGGATTTCGGACGAACATGAAAAAAGTAATTAAAATGATATATAAGAGTCTATAAGAGGGTTAGTTATGAACCATCGTTGATTAATCAATCCGTAGAATAATTTTTTCCATTGAAATAGATGAAACATTGACGGGCTATTTTGTAGAACGATTTTTATGAGAGAAAAAAAAAAGAAAAGAAAAAGAAAAAGAAAAAGAAAAAATAGATAAAAAAGAGAGAGAGAGGAGAGGCAAAAAAATTAAATAGAACAAAATTAATCAAAATTTCTACCGCCCTATATTCCTTCCGTATTCATATATATATATACGAATATATATATATATATATATATATATATATTCGTATGTTGTATGTATTACATATCAACGTAGAGAAAATTGCTTTTTATAAACGAAACATTCTAACGTTGGCTTCGAAATGGAGAATCTAGCGGTATGCGTGGGTATATATAAACGAGCCACGGTATCAATAAAAATGTTTCATTCGACGAGTTCGAATTTGTAGCTCGGTCTCTTACGAGGCAAAGAGCTTTCGGTACGAGCTATCGCACAAAACTGGGCTACGTGATATCGATTTACGGGAGCAAGAGGAAGCATAT